CTACCCGGATCCTTCAATTTCTGAGGTAGCTTACTTTGAATTCTTGAGCTACATTCCTCAGTGAGTGCCACAGTCTCGAACTCGATCAACCTCCTTTTATTTGCCACTATGTCCTTGATGTATTTTGCATATTTGGGCACTTCTTGCAAGATGTCTACCAAAGAAGTATTAATTTGCACCTGCTTCAAAATATCAAGAAAATTTTTATACGTGGCATTATCCTTCACCTTCTGTAATCTTTGAGGGAATGGAGGTGGTTGCCTCGCATCAAATGGTGGAGGTTGCTTAGCCACCACCTCTTCAGCTGGCTTCTCAGATTCCTTTGATTTTTCTTATTCTGACTCTATAGTGGTTGGCCTCTCATTAAAAGTCACTTGTTTTCTCTTTTTCGATTGGACTTCTTCTAATTGTCTCCCATTCCTCAATGATACGACATTAATGGATGCCTTAGGATTAGCTTCAGTGTCACTTGGAAGAGCTCCAACTGGTCTAGTATTTTGGGCACTGGCAAGTTGTCCCACTTGGCGCTCCAAACTTCTCATTGTTGTGGCTTGGGCTTGCTGATCAGCCATCAATTTCTTCATCATTTCCTCAACGTGACTTGTTGAGTTTGCTTGTTGTTCAGCCTGAGGTGGTCTATATTGTTGTTGAGGTGCTTGTGGTCGGTATTGATTTTGAGCATCTTGATTTCCACCCTGGATGGTTCCTCCGATTGGGATTGTAAGTGTTCCCATATTTGTTTGTCTGGCCCCTATTTGCATTATCCACAAAGCAGACAGACTCTATATTAACTGGGCATAAGTCGCTCGTGTGATCCTATCCACATACTTCACAAAACACTTGAACCTGTTGCACTGGTTGAGCTTGTTGCTTGTTAATAACCATGGTCATCTGATTGACTTGGTTGGTTAGTGTAGAAATCTGCGCTGATAATGCCGAGATGACATCTAACTCGAGAACCCCTGCAGATTTTTGTACCGTATATCAGCCCATTTCTCCTTGCCAATCTGGATTGCTTTTGGATAATTTGTTCAATAATGCATATATCTCGTCAAAGCTTTTCTCCAACACTTGACCTCCAACTGTAGCATCTACCACAATTTTTGTTTCAGGATGGAGCCCTTCTATGAAAGTATGAGCTAATACTTCGTTTGTCTAATTATGATGAGGACAGTCTCTTAGTAGCCCCTTGAACCTCTCCCAAGCTGAGTATAAAGACTCCCCCGCTTTCTGTTTGAAGGTGACTATCTCACTTCTGATCTTTGCAGTTTTGCCTGAAGGGAAGAACCTTGCCAGAAATTTCCTTGCCAGATCATTCCATGATGTAATAGAATTAACTGGTTCTGCCTTCAGCCATCGCTTTGCTTCGCCCAACAGAGAGAATGGAAAAAGTGTGAGCCTTACATAGTATGGAGTGACCTCGTTAGTGATATAAGTATCACTAATTTCCAAGAAGTTTAATAATATGCTGTTGTGGATCCTCGTGTGGAAAACCCATAAACTGCCCATTCCCATGAAGTAGATGGATCATGCTCTGCTTCAGCTCAAAGTTCCCAGTGATACTGGGCTTCACAATGCTGGAGGTGACATTAGCAATGCTGGGCATTGCCACCTCCTGAACAACCATATGTTCCTCTGCCATGTTCACATGAAATTGAATAAGTGCATGAATATTATTCGTGTCCCTTACTTCCCTCAACCTCCTATGAAATGTTCTCTCAGGTTCGGGGTCAAAGCCTTGAAGTCGGTCCTGGCTTCTGACCCTGCGCATTCAATCAAAGTTCCTGAGATCAGAGCAACAATCAAGTAATGTTAGACTTGACGAAATAAACAATGAAAGTAGAAAATAGAAAGTAGTCAATATTCAAGTCCCCGGCAACGGCGCCAAAAATTTGTCGCTCCCCGACAAGTGTACGTGGTCGTACAAGTAATAAAATGATAAGTCGAGTGTCGAACCCACAGAAACTTGTATCAACTACCCACTAAATTCACCAAGATTGTTATTCAGTCAAGCCAAATTCGAGTTCAAGAATGTGATTATACTAAACTATAATTCTAAGTAGTAACTAAATTATCAAGTAGCAAAATAATTGTGGTGTATTCAGCAGAGACAAATATTCCAAGGTTGTGATCGATTCACCAATTTTATTGTGTTCTAGTTAACTCTCCCTTTCATATAATTCACTAATGGTTTCTAATTAATCGATAATTGCTCTCATAACCTTCTCCCGAAGTACTACTCGCCTATTCAAAATAGATTAACGTCTATATTCCTATGGAATCAATCTATTAAGAACACATTAAGATTACGATATTTAATTAAGCACGGTAACTAGGTATATTCCTATCCTAACCATAAATTCGCCCCCTTAAGAGTTAAGATCATGCTCTCTTCAATTCTTCTCTAATCTAAACATGGCTTTCCCAAGTATAGCATAGATAGTAAATAGAACCTAACTGCTGGCCAGTCAATTAAGCAATTAATCACAGAATTGAAGAAATAACCATATATTAGTGAATTGTAATCAAGGTTAAGTCAATGTTAAACAACAATATTCATGGCTAAATCACAACCCCAAAACTATGGGTTTTAGCCACTCATGATAATAGCAAACAATTTTCTAAGTGTTGGATAATTGAAAATACTAAGAAAAGATGAAAAAAACTGAGATCTCTTCACTCCCGAATGTTTCTCGTGTGTCTTCTCCCTTCAAAGTGGCGTCTCCCCCTAAAAATAAGTTTAGTCTTGTTTTTATACGTGTTGGGTAGGTCTAGGGCCGAAACAACCTTGTCCCGGGCAAAGTTGGACAAAATTCGCGCCACCAGCGCCCAGCCCAGCGCTAGGCGCCATTCCTGGCGCTGACAATTTGCCAACACTGCCTCTGGCGCCACAGGTAGCGGTGGGCGCTGAAAATGCCATTTTTGCTTTTCTCGTACGTTTTGGCTCTAATCTTGCACTTTTCGCCCCCAAGTGCTCCCGGATCATTTCTACACATCACAACACCTCAAATTAATATAAATCAACACATTTTACATCCTAAATTCACGAAACAAGAGTAAAACATAAGACGATATACATATAAATATATATACCTTAAAGCTAAACATCACTTTCTTCTCTGCAGCTATCACAGCTGTTGCTTCCATCATCGGCAAACCCGAAAACGTAACGTGTCTCTTTCTCTCTTCCCTATTCTTAATATATACATAGTGTATTATGTATGGCTTCTTCTCGTATGCTGTCTAGTTTTTCTCTCATCAGTCCTCTCTTTGTTCTTTTAGGTACCACCCTCTTCCAGGAATTGGGGTTGGAATTTTTTTTTTCTTCTCTTCTCGTATGCTGTCTAGTTACTTCTAATGCTGGAGAGCTAGTTTTTTATAATATTAAACTAAGATGAGGTTAAATAAAACGATATAGACGGTAAAAATCATATAGCCCACCAAACTTTAGTGGGATTGAGACATAAATTATATAATGGTAGTAGTTGTAATATAATTTATTACATCCCGCTCTCGTTGATCTTGTGACTGACACTCTTATAATCTAGTATTGTTTCTACACTACTACACATCACGTGATTTTTAATTATTTTTACGTACTCATATGAATTTCTTTTTATTTTCTTTTTTTGTCTATTCAAAAAAAGAGTATTATCACTTTTAGCCCGCCGAGAAACTATTTACATATGGTAGTCAAAAAATATATAAAATTTGTATAATTTTTGTATATAACATACAGAATGTATACATATACAAAAATATATAAATTTTATATATTTTTTCGGCTATTATTTTTACAGCGGCTATACAGTTTCATTTTTCCAAAAAAGAATGATTCCTTTTTAAATTTGAAAATTATTTAACTTATAGTCACACAAATATTTTGTCATGTTTAACACCACAAGTTTTAAAATAATTATAGTCACACAAATATTATAACGTATTTAGGTTCACAAGTTTTAAAAGTATTTTTTTTTAACTCTGTACCAATCAAATAGCTAGGATCACATAAAACGGAGGGAGTATCATATATAAATAGAAAATTAGAAATCATGATAAAGATACACGTTGCTTTATTTTGATAAGATATCGCATCATAGACCGGAGTTGAAAGAGAGATGCTCAAACTATTGAATTTTAAGGCTAAATGGTAGACAACTAAAGTAGTTATAGAGATACATATCTTAATCAATATACTAATAATGAAAAAGGTACACATTAGCTAAATTAATGGTAAACATGTAGGAAGAGGATTGGGAAAGTGAATTATTCTCCTTATCCAGATATCACTATCGGAAGTTTATCTAGACAATCAAATATTCCTAGTAGCATAACAATTATAAGCATTTGCTTTTCTGTCTTCTATTATGAAGTTTTCTTCAAGAAGTTCTCTTACTTACATTTTTATAATTGCACCCTCTAATGTGCAGAGTTTGTCTCAAATATGGATGTTCTAAACTTCATTCTTTAAGAAGTCTTCTTGAATAGCTCCATTTATTAGCTAATGAAGACTACTAACCAGAAAGATAAGTCAAATTACCTGTCATAACATATTATTCACCGGTAGTTTGAAAAACCTTTATAGTACTGGTGTATATAAATTATAATTTATATGTACATATTACTAATATTAATAAGTGATAAAAGGAAGAGTTTTGTCATCCTCACAGTAGTGGATCTTAATTTGTTAGAGTTCTACATTTATCCTTACAATTTTCAGTTAATTCCTTTTACGTCCTGTTAATCTTATCTTTCAAAATCTTGTCCTTGACTCAAGAAAAAGATATGTATTTAAGAAACAAAAAGAAAAGAAGAAGCTGGAAAGTCTGAAAGCATTAATTGTGATTGACAGAAAGCAAAAAAGCTACAACGTGATCTCAAAACTTGCCCACATACAAAGCCCAAAAAGCTCAAAGTTCCAAGTCAACAAAAATAGGAGATAAAAAGATCTCAACTTTCACAATGCAGATGGTTATGTGGAACAAAAGTACAATAATTTTCTATATTAGTTAAAAAAGTAGATCACCGCCCAACTCTTGATTAAGTGACAAATGTCTCATCGCATCATTGCATAGACTGATTTTACACACAGTCAAGGACAGATTTTGAAAAATAAGATTAACATGGAAGCTAAAAAGTCGGTGGTGTACTCTTCAAAAAGCCCCAGAACATCCTCTGTTTTTCATTCTATGTTTCTCTCTGCTTTGAGGCTTCCAGATTTTCTTATCTCAACCTGGTAAGTTTCTCTCCTCTATTACGTTTCTCTGTCGTTATGAATTTTTTGTGTTATGTAAACCCGCCAAAAGCATAATATGGAGGAACAAGATGAGAAATTTTTCAAATTCTTATTGCATGTCTCTCTTCGTGTGTGTTTGGAAGTAGAGAAAATAACAAGAAACTCATCAACAATAATACTTATTAACAATCTATTTTGCTTCTCTCTGTCAATAAGTTTATTTTGATTTCATCCGATAAGTCAGAAATACCGAAGAAAATTACAATATTTTTGGAAGTATTTAACTTTTAGAGAACTATTCTTTTGGAGGATCTTTTGAAACTTTAACCGTTTATCTTAGCTAAAACATTCGCACATATGATCAAATTACATTTACTCCATTGTGAAACTCATAATGACATGTTTAGTTATTCTTTCTATTTTTCTTAGTCCCTTGCCCTTTTCTTTGTGTTTTCTGATTCTTACCTTTCTAAATTTTTTTTAGTATTAGTTCACGGTTAAAAACATAAAGAACCTCAAATGAATAAGAATGTGCATTCCCATGGTTATACTAAATATAATTTAATTTATTTATGTGCTTATGTGTTATTTTGGAGCTTAGTACTCTCCTGCAAAAATATCTACTTTCGTCTTAATTTGCCTACTAAATGGGGTCTATTATACCACTGAAAGTTTGATGACAGTTTGAACGGCATCTGTCAAAGCGATACATTTTTAACGTGATGGATCGTGCAAAACAAAATAAAAAGTCTCTTTCCCAAACGAATAGGAATATCAAACGACGTGAAAAATACAAAAACATGACAGCAGATGAAAAGCAAGCTTTGTCATTACAACGTAAATTCAAATATCAGGAATCAAAAAGACGTAGACATCTTGAAAATGCAACCCCTCATAACCCAACTAGAATGGAACCCATTTCTGTATGTTCTATAAACTCTATAGAGCATCCATTTTACACCTACAAAAAAGGTGAGTGTGTACAATCCCACATTACTCGGCACAATGTCGGCTAATATTTGGACATATTTAACAACTATCTTCGTGCCTTTAGGTTCAACATCAACTGCATCTAATAGATAACAAAATATAATATCTGAGCTAGCTATGTCTGGAGGTTTGTTTTGGTTCTCTGACCCTACCAAGACATCCTTCGTGGCCTGGTTTACTTTTTGTCTGATGTTACTTCAAATATACAGGTTATAGGAGAACTATAGAGTTCCCTCTGAACATCTATCATCGACGATCAACTTATGTTCCACTTAAAAAAGTTTTCAGTTGTAAATTTTGTCGTGCAAAAAAATTTGAATATGAACCTCCTGGATTTTATTGTGACAACGGCACAGTCAAATTAACTTCTCACAAGATGCCAGTAAAATTACGGAATCTATATTTTGGAAATAGTAAAGAGTGCAAATACTTCTGAACGTATATAAGAACGTATAATAACCTCTTTGCATTTACATCGCTCGATGCAAAGTATGATAAAGATCTAGCTAAAAGAAACCATGGTGTATAAACTTTTAAAGTTCAAGGACAAATGTATCATTTGGTGGATAATTTATATCCACGAGACGGAAAACCAAAAAACCTACAGCTGTACTTCTACGATAATAGTAATGAAATAACATACAGAATGGCTTGGTCCAATAAAGTCCATGAATCAATAGTGAAGGAATTGATGGATATTTTATCAATCAATCCATATTCTATCTTTCTACAATCTTTGGTAAACATTCCTAACCTTTAAGACTTGCATATTGATCTTAGAAGTGACTCAGGTTTGGACCAGCGAGTATATAATCTGCCTAACTTGACTGAGATTGCAGCAATATGGGTTGAAGGAAATGATGGTAGTGCTATTCGTGCACCGTATATTCAAATCTATACTCACAACAATAGTGTATAAAGAGTAAATTATTACCATGGATGATATAATATTAGCTTTACAATACCTGTTATTTTTTCCGTATGGTCAAAGTGGGTGGCATTGTGGTATTAAGAAGATTTATAGGACAGAAAATATTTCTAGATATCCCAGAACTTTTGAAAATGAAGAGATACCAAATATAAGAAATGTTTGCTCTCTTGACGGATATCTTAAAGTGGAGGCTGAAATTCTATAGAAAGAAAAGCGAAAAAGGAAAACAGTGTATGTACGTGAATATTATTGTTACAAACTGCAAATGAGAGATGATGAAGGATGAAATTTTACATACTAGAAGAATATTTCAACAATATACGGTTGACGAATATATAAAACTTGAAACACAAAGATTGGATTTTATTTGGTTTAATCAGGATTTATTCAGAATAGATGTATTGCAGGGACTCATTGATATTTTGAGATTTGGTGAAAGAGATGCTTCAAATATCGAAAAAAAGAAATTTCTTTCAAATTCTTTTATTGGCGGGCCTAGAGATATGCGTCAACGGTATATGGATGCTATCGCATTAGTCCAGCGCTTTGGTAAGCCTGATTTATTTATAACCATGGCATATAATCCATCTTGGCTAGAAATAAAGGAACATTTAGAATCAATGGATGAAGCACAAAATAGACTTGATCTCATTAGACAAGTGTTAAGAGCAAAAATAGAAGAATTAAAAACGGATATCCTAAAATGAAATATTTTTGGAAAAGTTGCAGCTTTTATGTATACAGTAGAATTTCAAAAATGAGGTTTACCTCATGCTCATTTTCTTATAATACTAACTAATGAATACAAGTTGCTAACACCAGAAGATTATAATAATATTATTAGCGTTGAAATACCCAATGAAGATGTAGAACCAGATTTATACTCACTCGTTATTCGACACATGATGCATGGTCCTTGTGAAAATCTTAACCCTACAAATTCTTGTATGAAAATAGACGACGGTTGTAAGTTTAAATACCCAAAAAGCTTTGTTAATCACACTTCTAAAGGAGTTAAATTTTATCCAATTTACAAAAGGCGAAATACATGAGTAAAGGTTTTAATAAGAGAATAGTTTTTGGACAACTCTTGGATTGTTCCATACAACTCTTTTTTGCTTGGTAAATTTGATTGTCATATGAATGTTTAAGTATGCTCTGACATTAAGACCGTGAAGTACCTTTAACACTTGTAAAGGACATGACAAGATTGCATTTTATATGCATACCAGTGAGACAAATGTAGAAATAGATAAAATAAAGGAATATCAATTTGCTAGATGGGTGTCGCCACCGGAAGCTACATGGCGCTTGTTTGGTTTTTTTCCGAGTTTATGTTCTCTCCATATTTATCTTGAAGGACAACAATTTATTTCATTTAAAAGTAGTGTAGATATACGTACTATTGTAAATAATCCAATGAATAAACGAACTATGCTAACAGAATTCTTTTACATGAATAAAACAGACAAGGATGCTAAAAAACTAAAGTTGTTGTATCAGGAATTTCCTAAATATTTTGTACGGTCTGCTAAGGACCGAACTTGGACACCCCGATAAAAAGGATGTACTATTGGCCGTGTTGTGACATGTCATCCGACAGAAGGCGAGCGGTACTATCTCAGGTTATTATTAATGAATGTTAGAGGTCTAAAATCTTACAAAGATTTACGAAATGTCAATGCAGAACCATGTAATACCTTTAGAGAGTCTGTTGAAAAATGAGGAATGCTACAATGTGATAACAATTTGATTGAATACATGTCAGAAGCAACAAGTTATCAAATGCCACACAATTTAAGAAGATTGTTCACTACATTATTAGTATATTGTAATCCTATGAACCCAAGAGAATTGTGGGAACAATTTGAGAAATCAATGTCTAAATATCATAAGCTAATAGCCAACATTGGAAGAAATGAGATCTGGTTTCAAGTTTTGAGCCATATTAATGACATATTGCATTCTATGGGTGCTGACATAAATGAATACAAACTCGTTCAAGAAACAATCAAGCCTTCGATAATTGCAAAAGAAGCAAAGGAAGTTCATTTTGAGAGGACGATTACTGTCAGTGAACAAGACATATCATTTTACAAGAAGTTAAATAGAGACCAACTTAAAGTATATAATACAATTATTGAAAGAATATTCTCATGTAGAGCAGGAGCATTTTTTATTGATGGTCCAGGAGGAACAGAAAAAATATTCTTATATAGTGTTTTACTTGCAACTAAACGGTCTAAAGGATATATAGCATTATCACTGGCTACTTCAGGTGTAGCTGCTTCCATTCTTCCTGGTGGACGAACTACACATTCATGGTTCAAAATTCCAACAAATGTTAATGATAGTTTTAGTTGCAACATTAGCAAACAAAGCGCACTTGCATGCTTAATTATAGAAGCAAAATTAATTGTATGGGATGAAGTATCTATGAAAAATAAAAGAACAATTCAGGCTTTTGATTTTCTCTTGAAAGACCTCATGGATGCAAATACAATATTTGGTGGAAAAGTAGTGGTTTTTGGATATGACTTCAGACGAACGCTTCTCGTTGTTCGTAATGGAAAAAAAGAAGATTTTATTAATGAAAGTTTATTATACTCTGATATTTGGGAAGAATTTGAAAGATTGCCATTATCTGAAAATATGAGATCAAAGGCAGATCTTTCATTCTGTGATTATTTAATGAGAATTGGAAATGGACAAGAAAAAATAAAGTCTACAAATAAAATCGAGATACTAGATACTTTAACTATTCCATTTACCAATAAAAGAGAATCATTAGAAAAATTATTCACAGTGACGTACCCAGATATGCACACACTCTTTTCATTATTATCTTACTCAAGTTCTCACGTTATTCTGACAACGAAAAATAATTTCGTCAATGAAATGAACGATATGCTTATAGATCGATTTCAAGGGACACTAAAAACTTTTGTTGGTATTGATGAAACCAATGAACCTAATGATCAAGCACAATTTGAGGGCCTATTGCATACTTTTAATCCCGCTGGTTTGCCACCGTATAAATTATGTTTGAAAGAGAATTGCCCGATTATATTATTAAGAAATCTAAATCCATGTGAGGGCTTATGTAACGGTACACGATTGACTTACTGCGACTTTAAAACACATGTTATAAGTGCTAAAATTTCATCAAGTGATTTTAAAGATATGCATGTGCTTATACCAAGAATACCATTATTATCATCTCAGGATGAAAAATTTTCTATTCCATTTAAGAGGACCCTCTATACGGTTATGTTTTGCTATGACAATAAACAAAGCACAAGGTCAAACATTAGATTTTGTTGGAATATATTTGCGAGACCTGTTTTTTCGCATGATCAACTTTATGTTGCTTTTATCAAGAGCAAAGAGCTCAAATTGTGTGAAAATACTAATTCGACCACCAATAGCTGCTAACCATGATGACCACTCTACATATAATATAGTTTATGATGAAATCATTCAAAAAGCTATTTTTGCAAAGTTAATATAGCGCGACCAAGTATTGCTTTGTTCTTTTCATGTATTATAGTTCTTTACATGTTTACTATTCAGCATTTTACTCTTTTCGTTCCTGGCAGTGACTGCTACAAAGTATGGAGTATAGACTTAATATTAGTGACATAACTCCACAAACTAGTGAGTGGACCTGTAAGGTTCAGGTTATTGAGAAAGCTAGAACAAGGCAGAGAAAGGATGGGCGAACAAGATTTCAAATTGCGATTGTCCAAGATGATACGGTAATCTAGCCGCTACAATGCTTAGTTGCTATTCCAATATTATATATATTCTCTATTAAAGAAGACAAAATTTGTCCTTTTACATGAAATGAAGAAAATAAAGTTAACTTGATATTGGAAAAATAGTTGTGATTTGGCACTTTATTTTGAGTTGTGCAATTGGATTTATACATACTAGAAAAATAAAATATATTCAGTTAAACATTGTGCACCGTTTAACTAATTACAATAACAATTGCAGGAAGAATAAGTTGTTGTTGCTTTGTATGGGGATGACATAGAAAAATATCAAAATAAGTTCACTCCCTTCTGCACATATCTGATATCAACTGCAAAAGTTAGAGCGTCCCTTCTGCACATATCTGATATCAACTGCAAAAGTTAGAGCGTCTTTACCGTATGGAATTCCTGTTAATAGATTTGAATGGGTTCTGGACAGATTTACAGTTGTTGAGCGAATTAAAGAAGACAACATGGACGATCCGCCATTACCAGCTCCAACGAGATTAAACATAGTATATTTGGCGAATCTGGACCAACAACCACAAAATGCTGAGTTTGGTAAGTAATATTTTGTGTAAACTGTAACAGGTAATACAACATCATTATATCATATTATTTTTGGTCTTATATATGTTATACCGCAAAATAATATTTGCAATACCCCTATAAACAGACATCCTCGCTATTGTTGTAAGTTGCGTTGTCATAAAGATCGCTGGCGTCCACGGTAATAAATGTCGACAAATCATTGTTATGGATAAAGAGTAAGTTTAAAACATTCTACTTATTTGAAAATTTTCAGTGAGTTTAGGCAATGCTAAAGCAATTTAGCCAATCGTATTGAATTTACTATTATACTTGATTCAATATATTCATGTGTTGAGCTTAAGTTGAGGTCTATTGTTGTGTGTGATTAGAAGGTCATTGAAAAGATTTGAAGTGGAATATATTAAGGGGTGTTGTTAATTATTTCTATCTAGAAGACTGGCAGATAATGCAACAGAAGCCCCCCTCCCAAATTAGTCTGCAAGAGAATGAGGGATCTGGGAGCCTTTCAACATTTTGGCATTGAGGTTGTTTTAGTCTCTGTAGTGAATTAGCCTACTGATCGACATATGATATCAAATAACCTATTCTCTCTGCCTCTCTTTGGTATTTTACTTTCTGCCCTATTGGGCTTCCTAAAAGATGCACATAAAATAAGAGTTGAGCTAATGTTTGCTGGTCACAGTAGCTGGTCCAGAATAGAAATAAGCACACTACATGATAATGAATAAGCCGGTTGGTATCAAAGTTTTTCGTGTATCTCATAACTGAATTTCAAATGCGACTCAGTTTCTTTTTACAAGATTTAAGATGATTTGAGATCAATTTTCTGCAAGTTTTTGCTTATTGGATTGCAGAATCATACTTAGTTAAGTAATTTCTTGTCCAATTTGACTTTACCCCTCTGTTTGAAGACCTGCATTGTTAACCCATTGGATCATTAATTTTCTACCTTTTCTGTTGGAATGACAAAGGGACCATGCATGACAATAACTTCTAATACCTTTATTGCTGGTAAATACCTTCATTCTCCACCAAAAGCTAGAGGAAAAACATATGTTTGGTAGTGATGCATCCGTTATTTAGAAATCCTAGATCCGCCACTGTCTATTATCTGTCGTCCAACAAAATCTGTTTTACAAGGATCTCACACATGGGAAAATAACTCAAGATGTCATGTTTTGTGGTATGACCAATTCTTCTGACCTAACATATTCAGTCCACTCTTATTCAATTTACGAAACTTCTCCTTCTTTCTTCAAACTCATACAGTTTAACGCATCTTCTTCTATTCCATTAATTTCAAAGGAGTCATTATTACTCAAAGATCCATATAACTAATGTTGATTCCACTTATAAAGGATCCCAATGCCCTTCATAACTAATGACATTGGTTAATTTTCTTTGTTTCCTATAGCATGTTTCAATAGTTCACTTAGGCATTTGGTATGATGGCACAGATGGAAATCGAAGACTCTTAAGTAGTTTTCTAAGTTCTTGGTTTGGCAATGTAGTCACATATAAGATATTGTGGATACTCTGTCAAAACAAATAAAACTTATCTATGAGTCAAACAAATTGATAATAGGTATATTGGAAAAAAGTACTGTAGGTGTAGAGTACAACTAAATAACATAAAGAAAAACATTTAGTTCTCAATAACACAACAGCTCTTTATGTGATTAAGTTTAAAACAAGCTATGGAAGTTGAGTGCAACTAAATAGTATGTACAAGTGGTGGAAAATTGTCAATTTCTTTTATTTAGTTTGTTATGATGACAAAGATTAAAACTTCAGTTTTGTTGGCTTTTACAGTAAAATGGCTACTTTGTTTCTTATTTTCTATTCCCATTAGTTGTTAGCAGGGAATTTATTGAGCATTTGGAGACAATTATCAGTGTTGTTGACAATAGATTTTGGTGATTATATGTTTGTGCTTTTAATGTGAAGATGCCAGTTAAGCACCTTTTTAGTTTGTTTTTCGTATAAAAGACAAGGGAAAGGTCTAGCTCATTGCTACTTATTTCTTTTCTCTCTATAGCCTTCACCATTGTATTTTCACTTTGTGGGAAGATTTTGCTGAAACTTATGGAAATGAGCTAGCGTCACAAGTTGACAAATATCCAGTAATCCTAGCAAAACGAATTGCACGGTCTTCTTATGCTAGTATGGACTAGATTTTAACTTTCTTTTATACATTAATGAATTTAGATTTTTTCGTACTCNTTAAATCACCAAAAATTGTGTGTGTGTCTATTTATAGGGTGAAAGATAATGAAGAAACGTTGAGCACATATACACAGAGTAGTTCTGCAGAGACAGCTTCATCGCCTCTTCTTGTATCACTACATGACGAGGCTGTACCTATTGCAAATATTTAGTCACAACCAGCGGTATGCATGTGACATATACTACTATATATTTTGGTTGAACATTATAACAACAGCTCAACTAATCATCAGCTCTCCTTTATGTTAAATAGATGCAATCTTTTCATGTGGAAGGTAAAATGTCGCTGCTAGATGATGAGCAACGGTTTTATGAGTTAATGTGTTCAAAATGCAAGCAATTTGTTAGAACTTCCATCATAAAAGTTGTCGACAGTGTGAATTGCGATCAACATGCAATGTTAACACTCAGGTACCATAATTTTGTTTGCTTTTCAAATTGAAAGTACTTTCTCATAGATTTTATAAATGCATAATAACATGCAATGATATTGTATAACAGGTGCCGAATTCAAGTTGAAATTGCAGATAGAAGTGGATCGACAATTGCAACAATATTAGGTGAATCTGCAGAAAATTAAGTGGATTATTCCTCATTTATATATCAAAATTTAGAAGACTCTCCAGTAATTCTTTGTTTTGCAGTAATTCTTTGTTTCGCGATAAGTAGAAGAAACAACACTAACTGATCTGAACAAATTGCGTGATTCCGTTTAGTTCTTATATAAACTCAATCTCTTAATTAAATTGCAAACTGATTCAATGTAAGCACATCTCTTTTACTTTCAATTTTCTCATTCTCTAAACACTACATATCAGAAAGACTCAACACACTAAATTTTGTCATGGCTAGATATTAATTCCTTTTCCCCTGATGCTTCATAGTAAGACATTTGGTGGAATAAAGAAGTTGTATATGCAACTATGGATTTGTTATAAAGATACCTATTATTCTTTGAAGTGATACAAAAGATTATAAATTAATAGGTTGTAGGAAGTACTATCGGATAGGTTGTTGCACTAAAGTTTCATTTTGTCGCTTCTTTGTATATACCACAAAATTTGAAAATCTCTATAATAAGAGACGTTGAATCTACTACAACAAATAGAACTATAGTCTATACAGGTACTGTGTTGGAAGTTATTGAGTCATTAGATTTATCTTTGTCACTAGTGTAACGACCCGACTTGTCGTTTTGTGAATTAGCATCTTGTTCAGCGATCTAAAGTCTCAAGCAGCTTTGTGATGTGTATTATAACATGCGTGTGTGGTCAAGTTTGATTTTCGGATAATTCGGGATCAAATTGGAAGAACAATTCTTATTTAAGAAGCTTAAAAGAAAGAATTGACCGGAGAGTTGACTTTTGAGAAAACGACCCCGGAATAGAGTTTTGATTATTCCAATAGTTTCGTATGGTGATTTCGGACATAGGCGTATGCCCGAAATTGGAGTTGGAAGTCCGTAGAACAATTCAGCGCATTTTGGCAAAATTAGAAAGTTGATGTGTGCTAATTATATTATTTTGTGTGTAGATGAGGACTATTAATATGATGGATATAAATTGGATATGATAATAAGTGTACGAGGCATATTATAAGTGATGTGTGGTCTAAGAAGAGCCCCAAGGCTAAGTCAAGTTGGAAATTATACGATGGGGTAAAGTTTCAAGTGAGTTCGCACAAGACCTAAATTCAAACGAGCATAACTCTCAAGATATGAAGAGTTATATGGTTATATCAAACGAAAGGTCTATGTGTCTAGATTCTAATGATTCAAACCGTTGGTCATTTGGAGATTCCTACAAGAAGTTATGACCGTTTTACTAAAGAGTGGCAGAACAGCTACGCGAGCCTTGTGTAGCCTACGCAGCATAGTAGTGTAGCCTACGCACTATTGAGTAGGCAAATCCAGCACCTTCCAACTGAAGGGGGTAGAATTCTACCCTGCGTAGCCTTTGTGCGTAGCCTACGCAGGAGGCTACGCAACTTCAAGGGGCATTTTAAAGGGGCTGAAACAAGGGGTTTAGAGAGAGAAAACATTAGTTCTTCAACTTGGAATTGATTTGTAGAGAGAAGGAGCAGCTTTTCCACCATGAATACACTTCAAGGTAAGCTGTTTTGGCACAAGGATGATTATATAACATCATTTAATGATAACACTAACATTTTTATGGATCAAATCCATAGGAAATGGGTTGAATCTTCAAGAACACCAAAAATAGAAAAAGTGAGATTCTTCCACCAAGAGGTAATCCCTTCACTTGAGCTTCATATATATGTCATATTGGAGTATAGGTAGCATGTTTATGAGTTTTATTTGAAGTTATAATGGGATATTGCATGAACCCTAAGGGCGGGTCTTGAGAATACCATTTTTGGGTAAAGATGGGTGATTTGGAGTATGATTCTTGGGTGTAAGAGTATTAATTATACATACACGTACCAATAAGGTTTGTGGAAAGATTATTGAGTTCAAATGGGTAAAGATTGGGTTGAAAATGGTAGAAATTTATTATGTTTTAATTTAATAAATTTTACATCCAAATTAGTAGTCATCGGATGCTTCATTTTAATTGAAATGTCATTTTCGTCACCCAAACGAGTTCAAAAATAAACTCATTTCTTTGATGATTTCTTACTTGGTTTAAAAAATTATAAACTTACTTTATTGAAAATAAATTGATCATGCGGATCTTATATACATTGATATTTTGGTACGTGAGTTGTGCGTGCGGTTATGAAAGAAATATGGGCATGAGGTGCCGGAGAAATATGATGATTTTATTATTGAGTTGTCTGTGCGGTTATGATATAAATATGGGCACGAGGTACCGTGAAAATATGAAAGTGGGCTAAGACCCATAATTTTTATAATTGTGAAATGAGGTATCATATAGTGACTTTTACTTGAAAGAAGTATATTCGAAAGATATTTATTCAAAAGAAGTATATTTGAAAGATATTTATCTTAAAGAATTATATGTGAAGGATTTATATTTTAAGGACTTGATTAATTGGTTGTACTTGTGTTCCTTATTTATTTGAGCAATAATTATGATGTTCTTGTTGTCTTGCTGTTTATATCACTAGTTGATTTTATTGTTATCATTGCTAGTCGTTTTCTAGTACTATTGTATACTGTTATATTGCATAGGTTATTTGACTAGTGAGTGGCTTGACTATACCTCGTCACTACTCCACCGAGGTTAGTCTTGATACTTACTGGGTACTGACCGTGGTATACTCATACTACACTTCTGCATATTTTTGTACAGAGCCAGGTATTGGAGATATCAGATTCAGACAGAGATTAGAGTATGATCGCAAGGATTCAAGGTAGGAGTGCTTGGTCATCGCAGTCTCTTGGAGTCTTTCTATTTTATTGTACTGTTAATTTCTTATTCGAACAATATTGTATATTCGACCCTCGAGATAATTCTATATATTCAGTTAGAGTTGTGACTCAGTATTACCAGTCTTGGGAGGTTGTTCGAATATTTCTGCTGTTAGTTTTGACACTTGTCTATAAAAAAATGGCTTGAATTGTTATTATAATCGGCTTACCTAGTCTTAGAGACTAAGTGCCATCACGACGCCTGTGGTGGGATTTTGGGTCGTGACAAGTTGGTATCAGAGCTCTAGGTTCATAGGTTCTACGAGTCACGAACGAGTTTGGTAGAGCCTTGCAGATCGGTACGGAGACGTATGTACTTATCTTCGAGAGGCTACAGAGCTAGTAGGAAAAAGTTTCACTTCTTTCATTCCTTATCGTGCGGCATTTATTCAGCTTGAAGCATATATCTTATGTTCTTTTGCATCCACTCGTGTATGAAATTGTGCACCCGGTATCAACTATGCGCCAACGGTTCGTGATACTACAGAGGGGTTATAAGGGAGCCAGGGTTGCTCAACCATTGTTATAAAGTGTCGTCCAGATCGAGGATGCGGAAGTATTGAGACATCATTCAGTTATGCACATGGTGGTATAGCAGGTTCTGACATCTGGTTGATAAGTATGATCTTAAGAAGGTTTAATTAATTGCTTAATCATCACAATCGTTGTAGGGTCACGAGGTGGATGTAGATCTGAAGATAGTTGGTGGTATTAGAGACTATGTAGTTCGTATGGGATTTACATTTAGTAAAAGGTACATACTAGCAGTCAACGCACTCGAGGAAGCAATTTTGACTGTCACGAGGATGACATGCGCCTAATAAATGGTTTGATGTGTCTTATGACTGGTGACGTACGAGCGGTGAAGGTTAGTATTGTGGATTATCGGACGTTGTCCTATGGCTTCGCGCCAAGTGAGAGGAGTCCACTATCAACGATCAGATTGCGGGGTCATGTGTTATATCAGTTTTGGCCTGAGATGTATATATGTGGTATTGAAAGGTTCTCCAAAACTTGTAAATGATTAAGAGCTGAGAATTGTATGGGATGATATTGGGACTTGCGGTATTCCCGCGTCCTTAATAATTCTACATTTCAGTATTAGCGGGGTCATGAAAATAATTTCAGAATACTCGAGGTGCTCCAGAAAATTCTTTTAATGCACCACCGGCACGGGGTTCCTATAATGGTTATTCCAGTTAGCTGGCACAGACTCAGTATGAGCAGACGAACCCGCAAAGGGGTTGTTATCAGTGTGGTGATACTAGACATATCATGAGAGATTGTCCCTGACTTGGGAGAGGCGGATTTCATTAGAATACTCAGGCTACAAGCTCTATTCCAGTTACTACCCCACATGCACAGTCAGTTAGGGGCGGAGGAAAAGCAGGTAGAGGGTGCCCTAGAGGGGGAGGCCCGACCCATTGATATAATTGATATGGTATGGTAGAGGCCGCTACACCAGATGGTGTCATTACAGATATGATTTAATTCATAATAGAGGAGCACAGTTCTTATTTTGATTTAATTCCAATTATCGAGGTGAGACCTCCTATCATGCTCCATGTATGGTGAGTTAGTGATTTTGTACACCACTCACGTATTTATCCCTATTGGGAGATTTGATGATGTTAGCCCGTATCTATCATTTTTATTTTTGTTCACTATTGAGGGCTATAAGTCTAAAAATGACTTTCTATTAATCACTACAGTGGGTTTTGATGTGATTTCGGAATAATTGAGTTCAATTTTATGAATTACATGCCCTATTGGTATGGGAGTCATTATGTGTTGTGAAAATTATTTACGAAATTTATTAAAAAGAAAAAAGAAAGGAAATGGAAAAATTTCAGTTGGCACAATGTGCAAAATACTTGTGATTCAGAGTTGAGTACGAGATCCTCACACTTTTATATGATGTGAAATATTTAAACTGGGATACAAGCCGCGGTGGAAGTTATATAAGGACGAGGTCCTAGTGGTGAAATATTTATGAGTTTAAATTCTCCCTTTGTAAAATTAAATTTGAACTATAGTACTAATAGGGAGTCATGCCTGTTAGACTTAATTGATAATTCTTTTACGTGATTCTGTGCATATTTAGCCATAATTGTGTCGTAAATATGAAAGTTTTAGCCCCATGATATGAGTGCCCAGGTGGCATTAAATGTGACTCATTAATTCGGGTAAATTGCTGTCAGTATTGCGAAAATTTGAAACGAGGGTTTGGGATTTGAATGTCGATTCGAAGTCGGATTTAAATGAAACTAGTATGATTAGACTCATGGTTGAATGGGTTTTCGGATTTTGTAATATTTGTCGGGTTCCGAGACGTGGGCCCCACCGGCGATTTTTGGGTGAAATTTCGAATGTTGATGGAAAAATTTTATTTT